AACGCCGAAGGTTAGAGAATATCTAACCACGTTCTGACATTCTGTACTTCCAAGTTTATTCAAATAACGAGTGGTTTAATGATAGACTAACAATTGAAGACGTCCCATAAAAAAATATAGTTCAGCAATATAATATAGCAGAAGTTTCAAATAACAGTATCGTCCGAAAGTTTGTAGCACACAAGTTGATCAGAAAAATGTTTTTAAACTTGTTACCTTTGTTATGAAGCAAGAATTCTGCTTGTAAAATCTCGCGAACTAGTTCGTAGTACACGCAACTGTATTTCGAAGAAAAGAAAGAAAAGAATGATAGATTGTACTTAGTTTTATAAAGATTTATTATTCGTGAAACCATGTTTTTCTAACGGGGAAAACAGGGGAAGGATTATGGCGAAATATCGGATGTAATTTATGTTAACATTTTGGTACGTCATATTTAGGACGTGTATGAATTTTCATTAGGGTTTAATACCTGTTGTGATGTAAACCGTGTTAATTATAAATAACATTGTTAAAAAGGAAATTTTGCTGAGCTAGAGGAAATTTGATGTTGGAAATGAAATTACTAAAATGATTTAGTACATGTAAATATCTTTTATTCTCTTTATATTCTCTTATAATCGATGATGTACCTCGATGTTTTGACAGAAAATTATTTCAGTCTTTCACCATGAAAAACCAATAATTACGAGTAATGACGCAAACCTTCAACAAAGAGGTATAATTGATAACATTTATATTATCGATGAAAGGAAAAGTTCAATGAATAACTTGTGTGGGAGAATGTATATATGATTAGCCAGACAAAACTTAATATCAACAAAGAGGTATAATTGATATCATTTATATTATCGATGAAAGGAAAAGTCCAATGAATAACTTGTGTGGGAGAATGTACATATTAATCACATAAAATAGCGATAAATACATAATACAATTAATATGCAATAATTTGTAATAATGTGAAATTTTGAAAGTGGTGTAGAGGTAGGGTGGTCAGACAAGTAGAATAAGTCACTGATCAGACAAGTAGAATGAGTCACAGATCAGACAAATAGAATGAGTCACTGATCAGACAAGTAGAATGAGTCACTGATGAGACAAGTAGAATGAGTCACTGATCAAACGAGTAGAATAAGTCACTAATCAGACAAATAGAATGAGTCACTGATCAGACAAGTAGAATGAGTCACTGATCAGACAAGTAGAATGCGTCACTGATCAGACAAGTAGAATAAGTCACAGATCAGACACTGCGGAAGGAGACCTATACGTTGACTTTACTACTTAACATGGCTAAAAAATTATTTTATTATTCCTACGCAATTAATATATGTTATATTACACTAATAGTATAATGCTAGTCTTACTAGTTTTTCCTTACTATTTAAAAAGAATAAATTTTGTATAATACGTCCATAAATCTGAATACAAATACCTTATAATGAATTAATACAATAAATTCATTTTATTGAAAAATGTACACACATAAATGCGTTTAGGTAGTCTGTTATTACCCAACAAAACAAAGTGGAAGCATCATACCGCCATAATGTTGAATTATCCGATCCGGTTGATTTAATTTTTAACGTACTTTCCCGTTCGCAGTAAAACGAAATATTCGGTAGTTCCTCGTGTAAAGTATAATAACGAAACTTTTTATACACGAGACGCTGGGTGTACATAAAGTACACTTTTAAATTGCCACTAAATGGATAACACATAGATCAAACTTTCTTTTATAGTTTTCATAATAAAGTAAAAACTTTACGTTAAAAATTTTCGAGGTGAAAGATTATTTTGTGTACTTCTAAAATACGACCAAAATAAGGATAAGAATCCTGAGTTGAATAGTAAGAAAAGGAGTATTCAAGACACTATTTCTCAGTGACCTTGGCTGAGTAAAGTCACAAAAGACAAGATATTTTTGAAGCGAGTAAGGGTAAAGGGTAAATTTTCTTTTATTTTCCTTGTTCACAAGTTAAGCTCTGTATTTCTGTTTTCAGAAGCACACCGTTATCAGAGAATTTACTTTAAATTCAAGTACGGATTGCAATTGTGTTTCAGAGAGGTTAATGTGAAAACTTGAAATGATAAACGATGTAAAGAGAAGGATTTATTGTTTTAATGAAAACGATGTGATCTTTGGTGCACGATGGAAAACTACTGCGATAATTTATTTCAGCCGCTATGGTTATCGCAAAATAGACTTCCAACAATCTTCAAGGCTATAACTTTCTCTTGCAATTTCCTTTGACGACATGGAAAAGTGAAATCAATGCAGAGAAGGACGATTTGTGTGATAAGTGGTACTCGTGTAAAATATCGAAGTTTTAGATTTTTACATTTATTCTTTTGGTTCTTGGGTTTTGTGGTTTGGAAGCTTTCTAATGTACTTTTTCAAGTTTTTCGAAATTTCTACTTTTTCAAGGTTTCATAATTTTTCAGTATTTTTAGCTTCTCAAATTTTTCACTTTCCCCAGTTTTTCAAATTTTCTACTTTTTCTAGATTAAAAAATTTTTCACTATTTCTAGTTTCTCAAATTTTTATAATTTTCTACTTTTTCAAATTTTCAACATTTTTCATTATTTCAAGTTTTCCAATTTTCCACTTTTCCAAGTTTACTTAAATTTCCAATTTTCCAGTTCTTCAAGTTCTCAAAATTTTCCAATTTTCCAATTCTTCAAGTTTTCAAGATTTTCCACTACTTCAAGTTTTCCAATTTTCCACTTTTCCAAGTTTGTTTTTTCATCTTCCAATTTTCCACTTTTCCAACTTTCCAATTTTCCAATTTTCTACGTTTCAAATTTTCAGCTATTCAAATTTATAAATTTCTCAGTTTTCAAAATCTCATATTTCCTATTTTTCCAATTTCTTAAAACTCAAATTTTCCAATTCTGCACTGTATAAATCTTCAAACTCAGGAATTAAGGAGTTCAAGAACTTTGATTTGGAAATGTAGAGAGCTAGAATTTTATTATTTTTAATATTTTCAATTTTAATTTAAATATGGAATTTTCAAATTTTCCAACATTAGCAAAATAAGCAATCACTCTTGCTATACTTAAACCTACTCCTGACACTTACATCGTTCATCTTACTCCTCACTGGCGCACATACAGTGCACCAAAACATGTAGCACTTCTAAACACAATTTTCAAAGTACCCCTACGTTTGACAGCAAAGACTATTAATTTTAAACCCATCCATAATAAATTATATTCCACATGTAACTTACACCTCCCAGAAAAACATTAGAAATTTAAAATAGATTTCACAATATTTCCGCATCATTTATCAGTTATGCGAAATAAAAGAGCCCTATACGCCTCGTGCTAGCACCGTAAAGGATTTATACACGTTTCAACAATAAATGTTCATTGGCTTTGTATCGCACACGTATAAAAGCTATCTGTCTTCTCTGACCGCTTTTTCTCATCGCGTTACATCGCCAACATCTTGATGTAACGTCGTTCACTGAAAATGAACGTTGATAATATATTCTATAAAACCGAAATTTCACATACACTTGCTGCGACGCAATTTATGTGGATTTGTTGGAACTGGGTTAAACACAGGCGATTCGTTTTACACAGATAAATGCATACGTAGGACAATCGTAATATCTACTTTATTTCCGTTTTATGAACATCGAGATAATGTCAGTTTACCTTTAAATGATTTAAAATGGTTTATTACGGTTAATGGCTCGTGTGCTTCTCTTCCCTTCTTTCATTTTACGTTTGATGTTTGATATTAATTTTGAAGTAATTAAAATTTATTCTATTTTAAAAAGATATACGATATTTAAAAAGAAGAGACATATAATATTTAAAGACATGTGTTCTTGTAGTTTAAGAAATGTTTAACAAATTGTATTTAAGAAATTATCTTTCTTAGACTATAAAAGGATTTTCTGTTGAAATATCATTTTCTTGCTTGAAGAAACGAAATTGAAACCATACGAGTAATCACAAAAGAACACTGCAAAAATAATACTGAACTTCAATTTATCAAATAGTAGGAAAGCTGACTGGGTACCAGCAAAAACACAATGCCCTGAAGATTTAATGCGATTAGGAAACTAGGGATTCCACGTAAGTAAGATGAATTACTCGTTTTGTGGGAAAGGAACAACTTTTATTATAAATTATTTTAGAAAATCTACTGAAAATTCTTGAGACATTAAATAAAATTTCAAGATTTTAGTCTCTTCTAAAATTCATGTCTTTGCAACATTTTTCTGACATCTATAATCATATAAATTTTAAACAAATAACGTGAAAAATAATAATATAATAATATCTAATTTATAAGATATATATGTTCGTTTATTTAAAAGAACCTTAAAATATCGACATCTTATACATCAACAAAAAAAGAATATTTCGCTGAAAATATCAAAGTACAAGGCTGATAAGTTGTACATTTCCCTCAAAAACAGTGAAGAAGTTGTAAGAAGAAAGCGTGGGTACATTTTCAAACATATAAAACCAACGACATTTAAAAATAACAATCAATATCAAAAATGGCGCAAGCTTTTGATGTGACCTAATTTTAGCCTTTTGCTAACAGAAAAGACTTTGAGTGGATTCAATTTACTTTTCAATTAAGGGACTACTGATAAACTCCAAATGTGAACAGTTATACTTTGTAATTATATAAATGTAGCAGTAGCTTCCAACTTCCAAAATTTTCAAATTAGAAAATATACTCGAGATTCTGCAACCTAAACGTAATCGTGCTCCTTGAAACTCCTCGAATTACCCCGAACTGCACGTACCCCAAATACCCATCGAAACCCGTCTAATCTGATCCTAGCAAAATTCCTAACAATCCCAGTAACCTAACGATCCAAGTTCACCAATTACCTATTTCCTTGAAAACAGTTAAGAAGCGTTTTGAAACCTCCATTAAACACGGCATCCTCTAAAAGCTTTGGTTAACGCAATAACCGCAGTAAACAAGTGTGGCATGCCTGAGAGGTAGGATCATCGACCTACCTTTCATCCAGCTTGAACGAGGACCTTGACAGGTCGCTCCAGGCGCTCATGCTTCTGCTGCGTCTCCTGCACGAGGTTTGAGGCGCCAGTAGCCTGGAGCTGCTTCGTCTCCTGGTGGATGCCAGATTCTCAGGCTGGAAGTAGACTCTCGGCGAGTGGACCTTCTGTTGAGCATTTGGCGGTGTGGAGGACGGTGTGACAGCCGTCGAGGTGTGAAGTTCCGGCAGTGCCTCGTAGTCCCATGCTCTGGCGCCCATTTCGAGCAGGGGCACCGACGAGGCTGCGTTTTGACCCCGCAGAGGATCCCGAGGCTTACGCTGATGAAACAGGGCGAGCAGGTGACGAAATCCCGACTCGTCTGCCCGCTGTTCCTTCTTTCTCGACGGGAACCTCACTTTGTTTGATTCGCGATCGTTTAACCGGCTAGTCGCGAACGAATCGATCCACGATGTCCCTCCGATGACATCATCAGCTCGCTTGATCACATCGCGGTGTCTACGTGGTGGGCACACGGTGCGTCCGAATGACGCGTTTCAACAACTTGCTGGCCATTTTGGTACGGTGAAACCAATCGAACCACGTGCGATCCATGTTCGTGACAGTTTTAGATAACCACGATCGTTTTAGGTTTCCTGGATTTGCTTCTGTATCGTATAACAGAAGCTTTCCCTGCGATAAATCCTTAATCCTTCCACTCTGTAAATATACGATAGGTCTAGTTCTCCGTAGTGACCATTTTCTAGTTTGCTGTGCTCAATAAAAATCCTGACACGTCCGAGTCAATCTGTCTGGAAGATCCATGGGATAACTCGGACTTACGAACTCGTGATTTAGTTTGAATCCATCTATGGGAAGTGGAGATGGCTTGATCGATTCTGCGCCACTTTATACCCGTTTCGGAGTATTAGTGTAATCCCCAATCGGTGCGATAAATTTGATGATTATCCTTTCTAATGGTGGAGTATTATGTCTTTAGAAACGAATTGCACTTCGTCTTTTAGTCGTCGCAAACATTACTCGGAAACGTCTCTCTTCAAACGAACCTTCTGTTGACGTCTCAAACTGAAGTAATTAACGAATCCAAGCTGGGTCTCTCGCAAACGCAGCAATTGCAATGTTTCTACTCGACTATGGACACAATAAGCTAATTGAAGGTGAATTAATTGCAACGAAACGTGCGAAATTAATAATTATTCTTGAAAGCTGCTCCGGCTGAAGGCTTCGAGGCGCTATTCGGTGAGGCATGAAATTTTCTCTAAACTCTCCTTTAAAACTAGTTAATAAAATCTAGTGACTCCAGTTAACAAGTGCAACGTTTGAACAATATATTTTCTGTTAGAACGAAAACATGGTCTATAACGTTTCTCTATGTTCACACTAACAAATATCAAAAATTGACACCTCGGTGTCGGCTATCAACGAATCTAGCGCAGCTATAAAATGTGAGCAGTCGTACAACAGTCTGAAAATTATTATCTACTCCCTGAATACTATTATCTATGTTAATGTAACAACTTAGCGTTTCTGGAAGGTCTCCGAAGGTCTTATGTCGAAATATCTTTCGATCGATGTCAAATAACGATGGCCCCCATGACGATGGCCGTAACATCCACAAACATATTTCGGCGACACTCGACAAATTTCTGCATCTCAATTTATTTTCATCCTTAATTGCAGTTAATTCGAAGCAAACGCAGCGGTGATTATTTTATTTGCAGCACAATGAACGTGATTCCTGGTATTAACACACAGATATCGTGCACATTACACCGAGTCGATAGAGCATCCGCAAACACGTAAATAAACAAACAAATGAATCGCTTTGACGTTTCCAGAGGCGATTTAATGGATCGCTGCGGTTGTAACGGCCGGCTTTTCAGACGGCGACAATTTGTAGCAGTTTCACGTTACAGCGGAATTTCGATTACCCCAGATAAAATCGCGTGATGTCGAGCGCCGAAGGTCAGGGTTGCGTTATTGTTTCATCGGTGATCTCGTTAACTTGTCTCGTTAAAATACATCGAAACGTGAACGAATCCTCGGTCATGTGCTGCGCGAGGGTATCGCGAACGATTTCTCAACGTCAGATACTTCACAGAAAATCATACTAACCGCGCACTTCGATCGACACACGAGGTAAGGTCTGATACGAGGAACCTAACACAGCTATCGGCCAGATGAACGTCCATCGACACATTGTCTATTTCGTCCTCGTCCGAGTCGGAGCTCATCGTCTCGATGCTCTCATTGTCCGTGTAAATCGATGCACCGTTACGAACGCAGGAATCCCAACATTTTATCTATCCCGACACGGTTACGTTGGCATCGTCGAACAACTTGCACGGAATCAGCTGATCTCCGGGTAATTTCACGGATCGTTGAACGTCCGACAAATTCGCCCGTGTGTCGCGGAACTCGGACGATTTTTCCCGTACATCGGTGGGGTTAAACCGGCGAAACGTATCGACGCGTTAGCCGCATCGGCCTTGACATAACGCGGGTGCTATGACATTCCCATGGCATTTCATGAATCGCGATCCCGGGCCCACGTCACGACGAAGAGGACTGCGGACGTTAAGCTGTCCTTGAGCCGACCTCGGAAAAAAAATAGAAGAATGCAGGAGAATCGTAAATGGCGGATCGGGAACAGTACGATCGGTAGCGATAACGTGTCACTGAGGGTTCTGTCGGATTGCTCTCTTGCCCACTGGTTTTACGCTCAGCTCGCAGCTCACCACCCCGTACTGCGGTACATCGTAGCAGTTTTCTCTCGTGCTCTGCCACCCCTTTCTCACTCTCCTCTCCGGCATTCGCCCCTCTCTTTCGCTCCCTCGATGTTACACCGTGCCTCTCTCCCTCTCGTTGCCTCTCCCTCTCGTCCTGTCAACCGGCTATCGTCGGCTCTCTCCAACCTTCTTCGATTCCTCTCCATCCAGCTTCGGGGCGAATACGTGGCGAAACGGCGCACACATGCACGTGGCGCCGCCGTTGTCAAGGCGACTGCGCCACCGGATGCTTCGCACCGCTTTCGTCGTTCCCGTTATTCGCGTCGGATACCTCATGTCCGCTTCGAGATCGGGTGATCGTGACAAACGATCATAGTATCCACAGAGATAAACGACGATCGTACGTTTTTTTCGATCGTTACACGTCCGTTGCGACATTTGAGCACCGCCACCCACGGGACCACCGTGTACGCTGAGCCACAACGTTTTTCTCGCCGGGGTCTTGCGGGATTTACATAATGTTTTTTTGGAGCTGGGTTCTTTAATACGTGGATTAACGGGACGAGGATGAGCAGGGCTGAGAAATTGGCGGGGGACCTTTTTGTTTAGGTAGTTTTTATGTGAGGTAAATTTGAAGTTTGGGAGTGCGAGGGGATGGATTTGGAGATTTAGGAGCTTGGGGGTTTTTGAAATTGGAGATTGGGTTGGATCGGTGGGAAATTGGGGATTGCGAATTTAAATATTGGGTAATTGGGGATTTGAGAATTTGGAGTGTTGTGAGATTGGGGATTTGAGAGTGTAAAGTAATGGGAAATTGGAAATTTGAGGATATGGGTTAGTGAGATATTGGGGATTTGAGAAGGTGGAATATTTGGAAATTGGGGATTTGAGGATTTGGAGTGATGGGATATTGGGGACTTGAGAATTTGGAATATTTGGATATTGGGAACTTGAGAATTTGGAATGTTTAGATATTGGAAATTTGAGAATTTGGAATATTTGAAAATTTGGGGCTTCAGAAATTGGAACATGTGGAAACTGGTGATTTGAGAATTTGGAATCAGTGGAAATAGTCTATCTTGGAATTTAAGAATTTAGGAATCCACATATTCAGAAAATTTGAACTTTTCTAATTCCAAAAATTAAAAACTGTAAAATTAGAAATCTTCAAATGTTCAAAATAGAAATTGAAACCCTCATCGATAGACATGCAAGTGTATAAAGAGGATAATTACAACGAAATCCATACCAATTACCGTAAGAAACTACCAAAGTAAATGGTTCGTTAAGCGTCATTTCGGAAGACTTCTTTTTGCTCTACCCGAACGAATTATATTGCTTAATACGACGATTAGATTAGTTTAATGGCGGTGGTTATACGATAATGAGAGTCACCGGTGTAGTAATTCGGTACAGTGGGGTGAAATGAATGGATAACCAGAATACAGCATCGATTCAAGCTGGGTTAGAACGAAACTTGCGTGACGAGCTTGCGCTCTTACAGCAAACGAAGCGCGGACAGCTCGAACTTTCGATACTCCACGTGGTTCGCTCGTTATACTCGTGAATTATTAAAAGCATGTCGATAGCTACAATTTTCGCTGTCGAGAACTGTCGATACTATTTTTGTTGCGGTTGTGTATAGGGTGTGACAAAATATTCTGCAATTTCAGACTTTAGTAAGAAATTTATAACTAATTTCAATACAACTTGTTAACTATTGTCAATATAATTTTTTTTTGTTAATTTATGTATGAGAACCAAGAGAAAATTGCATGTTAATATTTATTTTGATATTTGATAAAATGTACTATTTTTATTAAAGTAGTGTCGAGTACAAAATGCTAGATATATTTTTTAAATTGTAACCAAAGAGGAATAACTTTTCAAATGTACTTTTTTAAAAGAAATTGTGGAAAATTTAGTTTATCAAATTTTAGTTTACTTGCTTTAGTTGTTCAATTATTTTATGACAATCTTACGTATATAAATATTTCAGTTAGTATTAATTGAGTTTGGTATTAAATTTTTATTGCATTGTTCAGTTTTGAAAAAAATTGAACTCTCGCTAACAAGAAAATGAAATGAGTAAATATTTTCTATCAAAACAATCTCTTTCAAATGTTATTTCATGTATATTTATGTAGTGTATTTGTAAGGGAGAGTAATGGGAGGTTAATACCCCATATCCTAGTACAAAGATCTAGTTAACAATGAAAGCTATCTCCAGTGCTCAAACGTGTAATTAAATTATATAGAACATTTATCATCGGTTTAAGTGAATTAAATGAAACAGTGCATAATTAGATTGTTTCAAGTGTATAAATTAAGCAAAGCCGAGCAGCGCACTCTGGAGACAAACAGACGTGTCGCAAGAAAATATTGACTCGAAGGTATCTGCAACACGAAGGAGTTTAAAAGCTTGCAAGCACTACTTTCCAGTCGATAAAGTAGAAAGATGTAGAGGACCATCCAGTTCTCTGTTTCAAAGTGTACGTACATCATTGACCTACAAACAACCCTTTTGAGAGAGAACATAAGCTGAAATACAAGAAACTCAACACTTTGTCAAAGGATCTT